AAAGAATGATAGATGAAGGTAAAGAATGATAGATGAATGGCAGATGAATGTAAAGAAAGATAGATGAAGGTAAAGAATGATAGATGAATGGCAGATGAATGTAAAGAAAGATAGATGAAGGTAAAGAATGATAGATGAATGGCAGATGAATGTAAAGAATGATAGATGAAGGTAAAGAATGATAGATGAATGGCAGATGAATGTAAAGAATGATAGATGAAGGTAAAGAATGATAGATGAAGGTAAGGAATGATAGATGAAGGTAAGGAATGATAGATGAAGGTAAAGAATGATAGATGAAGGTAAAGAATGATAGATGAAGGTAAGGAATGATAGATGAAGGTAAGGAATGATAGATGAAGGTAAAGAATGATAGATGAAGTTAAAGAATGATAGATGAAGATAAAGAAGGGTAGATGAAGGTAAAGAATGATAGATGAAGGTAAAGAATGATAGATGAAGGTAAAGAATGATAGATGAAGATAAAGAATGAGAGATGAAGGTAAAGAATGATAGATGAAAGTAAAGAATGATAGATGAAGGTAAAGAATGATAGATGAAGGTAAAGAAGGGTAGATGAAGGTAAAGAATGATAGATGAAGGTAAAGAATGATAGATGAAGGTAAAGAATGATAGATGAAGATAAAGAATGAGAGATGAAGGTAAAGAATGATAGATGAAAGTAAAGAATGATAGATGAAGGTAAAGAAGGGTAGATGAAGGTAAAGAATGATAGATGAAGGTAAAGAATGATAGATGAAGGTAAAGAATGATAGATGAAGGTAAAGAATGATAGATGAAGGTAAAGAATGATAGATGAAGATAAAGAAGGGTAGATGAAGGTAAAGAATGATAGATGAAGGTAAAGAATGATAGATGAAGGTAAAGAATGATAGATGAAGGTAAAGAATGATAGATGAAGATAAAGAAGGCTAGATGAAAGTAAAGAATGATAGATGAAGATAAAGAAGGGTAGATGAAAGACAGATGAAGGTAAAGAATGATAGATGAAGGTAAAGAATGATAGATGAAGGTAAAGAATGATAGATGAAGGTAAAGAATGATAGATGAAGGTAAAGAATGATAGATGAAGGTAAAGAATGAGAGATGAAGGTAAAGAATGATAGATGAAGGTAAAGAATGATAGATGAAGGTAAAGAATGATAGATGAATGGCAGATGAATGTAAAGAAAGATAGATGAAGGTAAAGAATGATAGATGAATGGCAGATGAATGTAAAGAATGATAGATGAAGGTAAAGAATGATAGATGAATGGCAGATGAATGTAAAGAATGATAGATGAAGGTAAAGAATGATAGATGAAGGTAAAGAATGATAGATGAAGGTAAAGAATGATAGATGAAGGTAAAGAAGGGTAGATGAGTGAGTGTCAGGTCAGAATGATGCAACCGTACAATTTGGTATGGAATTCGGATTCATTTAAGTAAGTCCACATATTATATAACAAACAAAATAATTTACCTGTATCGTTGTCTTGAGCAGGATTCTTTCCCGAGACATTAATAGCTTTATTGTCACATACAATATCTGTCCAAGGAGTGCCTGAAAAAATCACAATGTAAATAGAATTACTTCAAATGAAAAAAAAAACAGTTGAGGAGAATTGGATAGATGAAAGACTGTAAATATGACAAAAAGATAATCTAAAGAGAGGTGAGGGTGAAGGATATATGAAGAAAGATAGATGAAAGATAAGATAAGTTGCAGTAGGATAGATGAAAGACATGCTAGGTGATGAAAACCTGGTGAATATGAAGGATAGAATAGTCATAGGATAGTCCAGGCCCCTAAACTTTGGAATGTTTTACCTTTTAACATTAGATGCTGCACTTCTTTAGTAACTTTTAAGTCTCTTCTCAAGACGTTTTTATTTAAGAAAGCTTTTAATTTATAGATTGTTTTATTCCTTATATTTATACATATTTTTTACGTTTATTCATTTATATTTTTATACTTATTTGCCAATTTTACCAATATGTTGATACTTTATGAATTGTATTGTACAGCGCATCTGAGCACATATTGTGAAAGATGGCGCTCTATAAGTGTCTTAATAATAATAATAATAATAATAATAGAATCAAAAAAGGATAAATGAATGTAATGATGAAAAGTAGATGGAAGACAGATGAAGGTAAAGAATGACAGATGAAGGTAAAAAATGATAGTTGAAGGGAAAGAATGATAGTTAATGGTAGATGAAAGACAGATGAAGGTAAAGAATGATAGATGAATGTAGATAAAGATATATGAAGGTAATGAAGGGTAGATGAAAGACAGATGAAGGTAAAGAATGATAGTTGAAGGTAAAGAATGATAGTTAATGGTAGATGAATGATAGATGAAGGTAAAGAATGATAGATGACTGTAAAGATTGATAGTTGAAGATAAATAAGGGTAGATGAATGATAGATGAAGGTAAAGAAAGATAGATGACTGTAAAGAATGATAGATGAAGGTAAAGAATGGTAGATGACAGGCATGCCAAGGTAAAGGAGGATTGAAGGAAGACTTGGAGGTAAAGAAAGAGAGATAAAGGAATAAGTATATATGAAGCATAGATGACAAGACACTTGTAGGTGAAGCATATATGATAGATAGGTTAAGCATAGATGATAGACAGATGAAGGTTATATGACAAGACAGGTGAAAGGTAGATGATAGACAGGTGAAGGGTAGATGATAGATAGGTGAAGCATAGATGAAAATTAAGATGAAGAAAAATAGATTACAAACAGGTGAAGGAAAGATGCAAAGAAGGATACATAGAAGGGAATATGAAAATTAAGATGAAGGAAGACAGATGAAAGCAATGTCAAGGTACACGAAGATAGTTAAAAGATACAGACAGATGTAGAGCTAAGGAGGAAATATAGATGGATTCAATTTTAACAATATTTTCTGTAAAGGAAGATTATATGCATAAACTATCATTGTACTGTAATCTATTAATATACAAATGAAGGAAATCTTATGTTATTGTACCAGACGGTGAGAATAAGATTGATCTATCGAAACATTCAAAGATATTTACCTTCAGCTACAACAACTTCTCCATCTTTACACACTGAATGGTTGTAACAATGTCCATCATGTCCACGAATTCGGACCCAATATTTACCTACTGGACATTGACAGACTGTATTACTAGCTCTACTACATTCAGTAACGGTTTCGTGACCCCATTGACAAGGTCTACAATCAGCACAATATTTGAAATTATTCTCCTTGTCCATGAATGTACCTGTAGGACAGGGTCGACATTTTGATGGACCATGGTCAGTTTCACAGGATTTCAGTAGATACTCCCCCTTCTCACATGATTGACATTGGATTCCGTTGTCTGCCTTATACACAGTTGTGTTTTCCTGAAATGGTGACCAAAACACAGCGTACGGTAGAAGAGGTTATTATGAAATTCCAAACCAAGATGAATTCCTTGTAAAAATCATCATCATTGGATTATTAGTGATATAAATATAAAAGAAAAATCAAACTATAAACGACACTCTGTTATTATAATAACCGAAATCCACTCTTTTCTTTTTGGCGTTGACAAAATGAGAATGTATGGAAAACCCCTTTCTATAATTAGCATATTTGAATGCGATCCGCCGGAAGGAGACCCATTGTCAAAAAAGTTTCCACCACAATTTTGTTTTGCATTATTTTAATTTATGAAAATGAAGCATGAAGTATTTAAATTTCAGATTAACTTCTAAACATACAAGGTTATATTCAATGTTGTTGTTATCAGTCAAAGTAGTAAGCCGCCATTTTGGTACAGTCAACCTAATATTTTCATACGATATAATATTAAAATTGTCTGAAGAAAACATCCACCACATATAACTACATACTGTTCAATATCAGTGAACAAAGGTATTCGAATTCAAAACTAGAAAGCCTCACTGAAGAAAGTTTACTATTCAAAGAGGGAAGGTTCTACTGTAAGTAGATCACAACAATTACAATAGCCACATGAAAAATTCAGCAAAACTCAGAAGATCAATTCAAATGAAAATTTCACATGGAAAAATCATCCTGGATACTATAAGTAGCTGTCAATAAATTTTCTATAAAAATTTTTTATAAAAATATTTCCAAATATATCAGAGAGCAAGACACATTACAACACTATAGGCAGCCATCTTGTATGACATCCGAGCGATGTTAATTACATTACAGGAAACCCTTCTATAAATTATCTGTGAGCAAAGTTATTCAAATTCAAAACCTGAAAGCCAAATATCTACCTTTTCGGTTCTCTCCCCAGTTACTTTTATAACTAGTATCATCCAGAGAACGATCAGCATTATACCAAACATATTCGGAGCCATTTTGTATGTAGTCCCTGAAATCCACTCTTTTCTTTTTGGCGTTGACAAAATGAGAATGTATGGAAAACCCCTTTCTATAAATAGCATATTTGAATGCGATCCGCCGGAAGGAGACCCATTTCAAAAAAGTTACAACCACAATTTTGTTTTGCATTATTTTAATTTATGAAAATGAAGCATGAAGTATTTAAATTTCAGATTAACTTCTAAACATACAAGGTTATATTCAATGTTGTTGTTATCAGTCAAAGTAGTAAGCCGCCATTTTGGTACAGTCAACCTAATATTTTCATACGATATAATATTAAAATTGTCTGAAGAAAACATCCACCACATATAACTACATACTGTTCATAACATCAGTGCATGTTGAAAAATGTAATATATCTTCCAATTTCAACCATGGGTAATGATTGCCCAAAAATAAAAATATGAATCGTTGTGGTCGTTAAATGTCGGTCTGTTCTATTCAAGAGCCTATATTAAATATAATAACAACGCTGCGATGTATGTTTTTCGTTCTGAATAGAACAACTACCAAATGTTTCTAGCAAAAGAAAATTAATCTAACTTGCTTTTCTGAAAGTATTATTCCTGTATCTATCCATAATTTTTGACAAAATTGTTCCGAAGTTTAATCCTATGCGTTCTATAATTTGATATACGCTCATTGACAATGTAATATATGATACCATTATACATATACCTATCGTGATTTCATACAATAGATATAGGGTCATTTCAGTATAATATAATACCTACAATTACTTATTTCTAATGATTCTACTGAAAGAAATTGAAATAAAAGAAAAGTAAAAATTTGATAACTCTCACTACCTTTTCTGAATGTATTTATCCATGATTCGGGAAGAATTTTAGTCCTCATCGAAGTACAATATTACATACAATGACATAGTGATTATAATAAGATATGTAGATAAGATAATATTTCAGTAGAAAAATATATGTATATACTTGATGTACATATATGTAGGCACGTAACTTAATACAATGAATATATTATGGAATTTATTGATATCGTCAAGGACAACACAGTAAACAAAATGTACTGATGTATTGTATTGAATCATGTATGTATTCAATTGAAATTTAGCTCAAAAAGCTTGTACAACGTTCAATAATTAGATACAACCTGTAATATCTAAAATTTGTTTGTAATATTTGTTGAACTTATGTAAATAATAACTCTATTTTCCATTATGTAGGCTTGGGGTATTGTAATTAGATTCAATATAGGGGCCAATATCTTTTAGCTCTTGTAGAAGATCAGGAACGTAAAATCAATAAAAGATCAATAAAATTGTCGACTTGCATTAGTGTGTCGATACGTTTTCAATATTTTTGAAGGGATTGACGTAATGATATAACGAATGACGAGTATATAGCAACCCAGGGAATTATTACATGGGCATGAATCTGTATTGGTAGAGAAGTATTACACATGCTTGATAAAAACGAGAGAACCATCGTCGAAACGTTGCGATATTATTAAAACAATAATTGTTATCCATAAAGTGTATAACGTTTTTAGTCGATTTCTAAATGCAAATTAAGAAGGTAGTATTACACAATCTTCATATATTTAATACTAAGATGTTAACTGTTCAGTATCACATATCTTATTAGTCTCATAGGTCGAGATAATACCTTCGGATTTGTCATCTCCGGGTTCCCCTGTCAGTGTTGCAGGTAAGAGTGGTTGACATGGAAAAAGCGTCTAGTCGTTAGGATAAGACAATAAACCGAAGCCCCGTGTGCTACAGGCTGTGAACGTTAAAGATCCCTCGACAGTTGGAAAATGTCCCGGCAAAACTCCCCTCATTGTACCCTGCGTGGTGGTGGCCGTATTCATTAGCCGACATGGTGCAGAAAAGTACGACGTAAAACTCAATTAATTTAATTTTATTTCAATTACCAGTCTCGTTTTCTAATTTATCCAATGTCAAGCAATACTTTCCACCCTCTAGACCCGATAACAGGACTTTGCCCTGAATCCAATGACGATCTTGAGCAATTTGCCGACTTACCTCACTTGAGTAATAGGTAATCTTCGCAACTTGAGCTTAAAGTAATGTTATTTTCAAACCGACATTTCATGTAGAAATAGATGTGGGCTGCCCATAAACACCCTCAATCAATATCCACAAATTTTTCAATGAAAATTAAACCAGATAAATCAAATTTGTGAAGGGATGTGAAAGATCAGGCCATTTACTACAGCTCCCCCGCCCCTCCCCCGAAAAATTGGATTACCCCCCTAAAAAAATCTGACAACCGACCAATTCCACTACTTAATTCCATATACCATTGCCCCTCTGGATGTATTGTAGTCTTGTGTTGTATGTTGTAAAAAGTTGCCTGGACTGGAGACAAAGATGTCACCGCTAATGCTATTACCTCCTGGGGTCGTAATGGAACAAAAGGGTATAGTAGCATTTACTCTAGAATTATCTGGACGGGTCTATTGTTACCTATAAGTACTTACTATACGATTAACATCTTTGGTATTGTTAATTGAGTACTTGGTAACAATAGAAAATAGACTAGTGTCTCCAGATGTCGGCCCAAATTTGGAAGGAAATTCTAATTATTATCTTTGTTCAGAGCGACACCTATCGGAGGATATATATAGGGAGAAAACGTATTTTGGAAGCTCTCGATTTGGCAAGGAAGGAGGAAGGACATTCGTTAGCAAGGGTTAGGATCACGTCGTGCTAAGAGGAAGAAGATCTCGGGTGGATTCTTCAGATTTAGTGTCGACCTCTTGTTAGTTTTGGACAAGACAGTAGCTGCAGGCAGATTCTAGGTTCTTGGGTAGTCCTTAGATGTTCAGTTAGGCTTTAGATTTAGTGTTAGAAATTTAGTAAGACTTTAATTATTTAGACGTGTACATTGATGAAAATAAAAAGGATTGTTATACACTTGAATCTGACTCCAATTCATTGTGTCTTGGGAAGAAGGAAAACCGCAGTCTGAAGTCGGTCGGTCTTTAGGCATAACTAGCCCTACTACCCTATTGGAATAGAACAACAATAACTCCTCCAGCAGATAGCCAACAACCTCGTTGCAGTATTACTTGCCCCTCCGAACAATCAATTCTGGCCGCGAGCCTGTGCGAGATTAAAAATGATTGGTGAATTAACGTCTTTTATTTACCAAAAAGTAACAGTTATTGCGATTATATTATTATTCCCTTGGACTACAAGATTTCTGTTGGTTCTGTTGTAAAACCCATCTTCATTTCACAAATATAATGATGTTTCTCGTAGCAGTACACCGACGTTAGATAATACGCATTTTCATCCCTCTTAATAGTTAGGCAATCTTTTAGAATTTGTGGTTCATCGCTTCCCCAAGTTATGTTTCCCACATCACGGCCGTCTAACCATTTATAGCGACCAGAACGGGGATCATGTTTTGAATCTCCACCAACAAAAAACTGATCAAAACTTCTATCTAGAATAGAAATAGTGAAAAAGATGATTCAGTACCAGAGGCTTGCTTAATATCGAAAATAATTAGGAATAAATATGAAAACGTCATAATACATGATACAATATTAAATGAAATTACAAGAGAAATGAATCGAATATGAATATAACTTTTGAATAAATATAGATAAATTAAAAAAAATAATATTATATTGAAATAAAAGATAAAACAACAAATACAAATAACATTAGCATTGAAATGAACCGAAAGAAACGATTAAAATATTTCGAATGATCGAATGCATCTAACCTTTATTGAGCATAAAATTAAAGAAATCCAGCTTCAATTCTTCATCGTCAAAATAAAATAGATGAGCACCACGCTCGAAACATTTTGATTTAGCCGTAGTATAACTGTCAATTTTTAACAAACCATAATTAACTATCTCCAGACAGCTTTTATGCTTGGCTAAATATGAAAACCCGCCAGGACAGGCTGTAACATTACAAAATAAAAACAAAATATGTGCTTGCTCTTTTCTAAACAACGTCTGATAAGTAAAGGCTTGTGTCCACGCAATAAGATTCGTGAAAACGCCGAGAAACCCTAAATAGTATGGCAATAGGCCGTTGTCCACATAAAGGCGTGTTGTAAAAAAAAAACGACATACTCTGCGTAGTACGCTAGTAACCTCTGAAGGCGTTTTAAGCATTATCGCTTGACGTAATCAAATAGGTTTTAGCCAATGAAATGGCACACAATAAGTCACTTGAGCATATTTATGAAAAACTTGTCTGAGAATAGTTGCCTCACCAAGCGATGATATGCTTCAAACGTGGACTCAGTGACCAGTGTATGTCGTTTATTGTTGATATAAAGTGCTAGGACTTCAATTTTACAGAGCAGACATCAAATCCAAAATACTCACGGTTGGCTGTAGCGTAGTATTTCATGTCCAAATATGGTAAAGAGTTGTAAAAATTTGATGCTGATAACAGATCTTTGTATAAATCACAAGATTGTCTTGCTCTATGGTATCCAATCGTCAAGCAAATAGGTATTTGATTCAAACAGAGAGAGGCACACTGACTCAAACTGCTTGCCTCACGATTAGTTACTTTGTTCTTTTTATTAGGCATCTTATCAGCTATTTCTAACTTTTCCCATTTTTGGTTCCGTTTGATGACATGTGTTCCATATGATTGGTACCACAACAATCCAAAGAAAAAGATAGTTACTTTTATTCCTCCTGGTTTTGGTGAAAGATATATCATTCTAAATGGAAAAGTATTCAACACACAGGCAGGTGCAGTACAAATTATTTAACCTTCAATAACCAACACAACACCAGTCGGTTGGTTGTTGGAAGATGATGGTTAACGTTCGCTTTAAACCGATGCTGATATTGCAAACTAGATAGTTGTTGGAAGTCGTCGTAGTTGGTAATTGGATTGGTAGAATTGGATGATTCTGTGCTGTCGGTTTAATAGTTGATAAACCACTGATTCTGATTCTGATGCTGTGGGCTTTTATACCGTGGAATGATTTAAAGTGGCGATATAAAGATCTGAATTTGTAATCGTATTTACATTATCTTTCAAAAATTTGAAGGGAAATTTTTATAGTGGCCTGGAAGCATTAATAGTTTTCATAAACATCATTCCAAATTATTATAGAATTAATTATAGGATTAAATCAAAAGTGTTGGAAATGTTGAGAGCAAACAATTAGTCTCATTTTGGTGTTGTTTATATTCCACCTATGCATCATTCTAATCCAGACCAAGCTAACTATTAGGGCGACGTGATACTATTATGCGACTGAGTTTTTCAACTGGGCGTTCTACTGAGAGGACCTACGCGGTCTATTCTTTTTATTATTAAGATAAGTGTTTCTATATACGCCAACTCTTTCCTTATAAATAATTTGTACCTTAATGTCGTCTTAGAACATAAGAGGCAGTTTGGCGCTTTAAGGTCAAAAACTGATTATCATGGCGCCAATTATTATAAAGACCAAACTTTGAGATATATTGTATTAATTTTCTGCTAACATTAATTCTTTAATCCTGCAAAGAGATTGTAAAGAGGTTTGCATCGATTTGCTTTTTTCCAATTTTTAATCAGACGTCTACAATTCAACAAAGAGACTAGTGACGTCATCAAACAATTAGTTTTAGTGGAATAGCAGGAACCACGGACATCTGATTGAAAATGTGAATGGTGCAAATTGATGCCATCAGTGTTTCAGATACACATAAATTTTTCAGAAAACCTCTTTACAATCCCTTTAATATATAATAACGTATTGGGACAACTGCCGTGTTTTGGATATTATAATTTAAGTAAATATGTATTCTATGTTTGCAACCTAATCTGAGGATTAATATAGAAGGGAGATAACTCTGGTATTAGTCCGGGTGGTGTTTAAAACAGATTGATTAGAGGATCAGCGTTACTAATTTATTCAAAGCTATCGATTCGGGATTTAATATCTAAATATAAAATAGGGCCTACTCTTAAATTTCATTTGTTGAATCAAGTGTGTATATGACAACGACTCTCGTTATGCATTTATTTTTTATATAAAAAAAGTTCCTCGTTAAAGGCATTCTTAAAGGGTATTCCAACCAAATGTATCAACCAATCAAAATGCTTGTATAGAATAAAACAATTCTTATGGATTACAATTACTAACTTTATTTGAGCGACGTTTCAACCAGCGTTCTCTGGTCTTTATCAAGCACGTCACATTATCCATTTTTATAATGCAACAGCCTTGTCCACTTGTCCTTTGAGTGAAAGCCTATATTTGGTTATAATAAAACAATTCTTATGGATTCCAATTACAACTTTATTTGATCGCGTTTCAACCAGCGTTCTCTGATCTGTATCATGCAATGAATAATATTATAAAGGTTAACAAGTGTAATATATAGGTAAAGACAAAACTAAACAACAAAGGATAAAGAATTCTAATTCTAAGTTAAACTGCTAATTAATGGATAAGGCGATTATAGTCTCTAGAGATAAAAACTCCAGGATCTCTATTTATTGATGATTATGTTTGCAATTATCAGTAAAGAGAACATCCGAAGTGCACAGATTTGAATACCTTAAATTTAGATGGGACTCATGTCTTGAACTTCGATCCAATGTATTTTTATTTTTAACCAATCAATATGACGATAATCAATTATCTGGGGCCTTTTCTCAAAATTTAATTTTAGATAATTTTAGTGTTCCAGCCATCTGATTGGACAATCACTAAAATTGATTATAAGTAAAGATTAATCATCTAATCTGCTTAATGTATATTTCTAAAAATCTTGATTTTATCTGAGTTGAATTTTCGAGATGATAAGTGCAGACTTTGCATAATAATTAGGACTGAATGCAGAGATAAATATATAAATATTGTTATCTGATCTGACCTATATAATGATATATAAACTATATAAATATATAATCGGAGGTCCACAGCTGTTAGTATAAAGTCAATATAAGAAAATGGCGACAGTCGTAGTAAAAAACACCAGGTATTTCTTACAATGTGCTCAGTTATTCAGTATACGAAGATTGTCAACAACAATTATCAAATTCAAACATGACCCAAGTCAGGTAAGACGTCGATCCATTTCTTGCAAAACTTGTAATATATATAACACACGATTTTCAGTCACATCAAGTGGAAAGGGGTATATTTAGATAACAAAAAATGTACTTGAACTCGATTAAAAACTGTGCAACGTTTCAATATTTTACGCCTCCCCCTTATATAGTCACAAGGAGGATATTTCACATGCTGCTGGGAGTATATTACTAAATTATTTTAGTATGTGTGGCTTTACAAGAGTTGCCCCCCCCCCCTTGTACACATAATTCGCAAGTTTGGAATCATGTACAAACCGCGTGTCCTAAGGCTACAGGCTATGTACGTTAAAGATCGTTTGATATTTTCAATTTAAAAGAGAATAAACTAATGCCACTGTCCTCGCAAATATTCCCCTCATATTAAGGAAGGAAAGGAAAGCAGGAGATAAAACTCAATCTTAGCTTTATTTGAGGATATCACATTTTAAATTCCAACGATATAGAGATAGAGAATATTTCAGTGTAATATATATCTAATGGGTAATCCGGGATGTGGGAAAACTACAGTTGGGAAGATACTGGGAGAGAAGCTAAACAGAACTGTTATAGATGTTGATGATGATGTTCTAGAACCAACATGGAGAATGTCAGTTTCTGAAAAAGTAAGGACTTTGATTTATCACTGCCAATATTCTTGTAATAAACTGTACGGGATAGAAAACTTCATTAATTAAAGATGGACAGAGGGTTGCTAAACTTTATTAAATAGCATTTTCTCAAAAATGTTCAAAACAGTGGGGTGTGAAACTCTATTTCATTTCACGACTTCAATAAGTTGTAGAATAATATCTTGTTCATCTCACTAGCTCAGTGAGTCGCATTATGACGGTTGATGTTATTAATCCAGGAAGGTGCAAGACACAAATTATCCATTTCATTAGCCAAATACAGTGGATAATTGGGTGTGAAAACAGGAGAATGTTGACACATTCATCAAGACTCAAGACTAGCTCATGGAAAGTAAAATAAATCACAGTTATATGACTAATTGCTCGAACGTAGATCAATTATGTAAATGATTGAATTATGCTTTCATTTTATTTTTTGTAGCTATTTGATGTCGGAGGTGAGAGATTTCTGGAAGAAGAAGGCCAGGCATTGTGCAATTTCCCGACTCCAACGAAATCAGTGATCAGTTTATCAGGCTCGAACCCTCTGCACCAAAAAGCAATGCGTCATACTAAACAGAACGGGGTCATGATCTTTCTGGATGTGCCACAGACGGACATTTTGGATCGATTAGAAAAAATGAAAGTGGATCGTATTGTTGGACAGGAGGCGGGTATAGGTATGGCTGAGATTCTCAACTATCGTCAATCATTTTATGAAAAGCAGCATGACATTCGAGTGACTTGCTGTTCGGGTGATACTCCTGAGATCATAGCTAGCAAACTGTTATCAGCATTAAAAAACGTACACAACGATCCCGGGTATGTGTCGACTAGAGGCAGCGATTGTGACCAGCCATCCACATTTCTTGATACAGTACTGCAAGGACTTGCCAAGGACGGTGGACTGTTCGTGAGGTCAACCGAACTTCCGACTATGCCGCGATATGAACAGCAAAGACTTATAGACATGAACTACAGCGATCGGGCTCTGAGAATTCTTCATCGATGGATAAACCCGCTGGAGATTCCAGGTGGCCAGCTTAGAGACTTTGTGCTTAAAGCATACTCAAAAGAAGCTTTCCAAGATGCTCACGTGGCACCAGTTCGACATTTGGAGAAAAACCAGTACCTGCTCGAACTGTTTCACGGCCCAACAGCTTCTTTCAAGGATTATGCTCTTCAACTGATGCCTCAGTTATTCTCTAAAGCAGTTCGAAACAACGACAAACATTCTAAGTAAGTTTTACTTATATCAACTGGCTTACTTTGCTTAAAATGCCAAAGTGTCCACTTATGCTGCTTGCACGTGTTTCGGGTATACAATTTACACCAAGACAGTTGTTATGGAAGAATTTTATATCTAAATAAAGCATTTATAAAACTGATATGCAAAATAAAAAACCGGCCGTTCACAAGAGTTTGTGGTGCCCTTCAAACACATTTTCGGTCGTGGCAGCACAAGTCGATAATGATTAGTCTCACTTGCCGGCACACAATCCACTCTTATTTATAGATACCTGATATTGGTAGCAACTTCCGGTGACACAGGTGGCGCTGTTCTTGATGGTTTCAGAAGACATTCGGGTACAGTATTGTAACCTAAGAAATACCCAAAATGCCAGGAAGCTGTTCCATAGGAACACGTTGCTTACTGCTTTTACAAATTATTAACGTTCAGAGTTGTCTTTGAGACCGTCTGATTTTTTACCCCTATGGCTTTATTCAGCTCTGTGCTACTATCCTTATTTCCTTAATTCTAATTCTATTCTATTCTATTCTATTCTATTCTATTCTATTCTATTCTATTCTATTCTATTCTATTCTATTCTGTTTTCTATTCTATTCTATTCTATTCTATTCTATTCTATTCTATTCTAGACAGTAATGATACAGGGGTCATTGTGTTGTATCCATTGTCTGGCATCAGTGAGTTACAGAAACATCAAATGACAACAATGGATGGTCGCAACATCAGCGTTGTTGGTAAGTTAATAAACACGTGTCATGTAAAACGCATTCTTACATCAGTAAGCTACCAATCTGTGAAGCAGATTCCACAATCTCTTTTCTAGTTGGATACGATACTTTCAGCAAAATGGCATAATTCTTATTTTCGTATAGTAGAACGGAAACTCACACTTTCTCATGTAGTTAATAAACAATAAACTCATATCCGTCTTCCAATAAGATAGAATTAGCTTCCGAATAATGACGGAAATGACGTGAAAATATATCAGCTCCATAATGTTTAGTACAGTACGACGTAAAACTCTATTTCAGGTGTGAACAGCAACTTTGATTTCTGCCAGTCGACTATTAAACAAATTTTTAATGATATAGAATTTAACAAAACGATGAAAGAACAATTCAACACAAAACTCAGGTACGTTCTGAAAGCTGAATCATTTCATCTGATTTCAGATTAAATTGGATTTTATTTTTCCAAGCCTTCGTATGTGCCATTAGGGCTCTTATTTACGCCATTCGGATTTCCTGATGGTTCATGGTCCATGGTATTACAGAAAAGGCCAAATAGTTACAGATATTAAAACCATAATCTGGATTATATTGATTAAAACTATTCTACAATTCGTACTCTATATTAATTACAAAACTTTCAAATACGACAGATGTAACTAGGGCTGGGTATCGATTACCAAATTGAGATGCCATCGATCAATAATATTTTAAGTATTTTAAGTGAGCAATCATCTAAATACTAAATAAAGATCATGTGCAATTGTTTAATTCCATGGGTTATTTTTGTGTCGTAGAAATATAATATTGTTGCTTTGATCAGTTATTGTTAAGTTTAATATGATATGCTGAAGGAAAACTGTGCAAGAAATTATGAATTGTTAACGGATACACGGGAAAAAATAGAACATTGACATGTGATCAATTATGTACTTCGATGATCGATAATCGAAATTGTAAATTCCTAGCGACGATAATCGATTATTTTACCCAGCTCTAGATGTACCCCCAGGTCATGGAACCCAAGGACCCTAGAAAATGACATGTTCCCTTTTTTACAGTGCGGCCAACTCATTAAACTGGGGAAGGCTGATACCACAGATTGTTTACCATGCATCCGGGTATTTAGATCTAGTCAAACAACGAGTTATTGCCCTTGGTGATGAAATTGATATCTGTGTCCCGACTGGTAATTTTGGTAATATTTTAGCCGCCTATTACGTTAAGGTGGGTTAAAAATATTCAAAAACTTGCCTCAAATGTTATAAATGACGGAGATCAATCTTAAACTAGCTGACTATTTTGACCGACTTCCGATAGTAATTATTGATGGATGTCAATCTGAAACTTGCTTTTATAAAGTTAAAAACCATTTCTTATTAGCAAATGTGTAGATAGCTAGTGGTGTCCAGTGACCCTGTATCGCCATTATCTCTACTGCCCAGTATCCGATAGATAAGGTGACAATAAGAAACTTCAAAAGTGCAACCACTTATAGATTTTGTGACAAATGCCGTCTTGTTAGCACTCTACTCGGTGTTATTTTCAGATGATGGGGTTTCCTATTAGAAAACTTATCTGTGCGTCCAACTCGAATGATGTGTTAACAGAATTTTTTATCACTGGGTGTTATAATCTGAGATCTCGACATCTGCTGAAGACCAGTTCTCCTGCTATAGATATACTGAAATCATCCAACTTAGAGAGACTGCTATATCACACCAGGTAATTTCAATTTCCTTTACCATTTTGAGGGTTTCATGGGATTTTTTTGTCTGTATGTGTTTGTTAGCCATTCTATCTCAGGGAAATATTTTTGGCTAATTTGGGGACCGGTTTTACACCAAAGCGCGCATTTGATTGGTTGAAGTATTTATAAATGTGAACTGACCAACACCCCCTTCGGACCTCAACCCGAAAAAAATCTTTGTCCTCCCCTCCCCCCTCTGAAAATATTCTGACAACCGACTAATTCGATTAATGCAACAACAACATTGTCCCTCCGGATACATTACTTTCCCCTCCGAGCATTCAAGTCTTGTTACGGGCTTGGAACTTACCATTTGGAAGAAATTAGTCAGATTGGTGTCAACCCGGCATCTATTTTGGAGTTTCAACTTAAATCTTTCATTATTATTGTCTGAGCAACGTAAAAGTTTTTTAATTATTTCTATTATTGTTATGAGAATTGGAATAGCGACCCCAAAATAGTACTGTTAGTCTTAAAATATATGTGCGTTGATAAGAATAAGCATAAGCAAACATTTTGTCTTCAAAATTTGTTTTTACAGAGGACAATTTTCAGCTAAAATTTGTGACTTTTTTGGGTTGAAATTTCTAGGGGAGAAATGTGTTTCTTTTCAATTTAAACTTACAAAAGATATTAATTTAATCAACGCAAAGACATTCTAAGACTAACAGTACTATTTTGAGGATGATATTGCAATTCTCCAAAAAAAAAAAAAATAGGTCGAAAAAATTCAAAATCTTTTCAATTTAATAAGAGTTTTAGAATCATTATGTAACATCAGTGTTTCATTCTTACAGTGGTAATAATGGAGAGCTCATCAAGAACTTATACCAAGATCTTCAAGACCACAATCATTTCAGTGTTTCAGAAGAGGTAACTTATCATTATTCTTTTCCTTTCTTGTCAAAGAGCATCCTATGTTGATCCTATTGGAGTAATTGTCGTCTTGAAACAAATCTATTCGGCTGTAAAAAAGAGAATTGATCATTAAAAAATGCTGAGTAAACGTATCATCAGAAGGTCGTGAAACTGTAAAAGGATTGAATTATACTGGGATTCGTGAGCAAATATTCTAAGTTATTGCCCCTGACTTTACTATATACCACATTTTCGCAAAGGCAATAATTCAAAACTTACTTTATATATAGAAAAGTAGCAAGTTCCACCCAATTACCGTGAAATCTATTGTGTCTATCACCTTCACAAGCCGATTGTAGACGAACAGAAGAGATAGTCTTCAAGAAAGATGTTTAACTATTTGTTTCAGCATTTAAGAAAGTTACAAAGTATGTTTGTGGTAGGATCGTGTTCAGAAGAGGAGTGTAAATCTACCATCGTACAAACCTTGAAAAATACAGGTCTGATGCATTTTCCAATTCCATTTGACTTCCAATGTAGTCTGAAATTGTATGTAGCAAATATCAAATGAGTGTTATTTCCCCTGTTGTCTCCATTTGTTGCAAGATTGCCATCATAACAGCTGATTAGAAAAAAGTGTGTTTGAGCACAGTAGCACATTTGTTGAAAAGGGGCCAAAAAAGAATACAGGGAGTACTTTACAGTATGGCCCATTATTCAATCCAGAATTAAAATTGTTCTCGTCCAAGGTGTTTCGACCCACGACATCCTAAAACCTACGCGATTATGGTGAGTGCTACTGATTTGTCAAATCAAAAGAGGTGTTCTATTTTACAGGTTATTTACTGGATCCGCATACCGCAGTGGCGAAAACAGTAGCAGATCGTTACACTTCCGACGTACCCACTCTTATTACTGCTACAGCACATTACGGCAAATTTGGTGATTCCATGTTACCATGGGTAGATCGTCATTGTGTTTCAGACTACACATCAGAGGTGGTGTTGAATCGTTTGAATGATATGTCAAGCCACCCACCCTTGCATCTAGGCTTAAAGGACATGTGCCAGAAACCAATCACCCATACAGTTCAGTGTCAACCGGATATACAGGATATCACAAAGTATGTTGTTGACATTGCACGTAAAATGTGAATCTTTGCTTGAATTTTAAGAAAAGTGTTGAAAGTGCCAGAACGAAAGTGGTTTGCGGAAAATGACATTTGCGAAATTCAAATATTATTAAACGATGCCATTTCCATATAAAAAATTAAACGCTCATGGGTTTTTCTTCTGTTTGTAAAATGAAAATAAATTGCCAGTAGATGGGGTTGGGGAAAAGACTAGAAACTCCACGTGTACCAATCGCAAGTAAGGAATTGCTCGAAGCATGTTTCAATAATTGTTGTCACTGCTTTGTTTCGCAAAAAGGATTGTGGCACAGTGCAAAATGTGAAAAAGTAAAAAAATGGCTCTTGCAGGCTCATTTTTTAGCGATTTTCATTTTTGGGATTTCGCAAGAATATCCAATATGGTACCAGTTACACAGTTTCGAATTTTGAAAATTCATAACACACATTTTTGAGTCGAATTTTGCAAATTTTGACAATTTTTTGTATTTCGTCGATTTTTTAATGATTGCTTTGATATTTCTGGTGCTATAACAAGTCAGGACAGAAAAAAAATTGGCATAGTCAAAAAATTTGCATTACTTCCGATTTCCACAAAATCGAGGTGCAAACTTCCGGTTGACCCACTTCCTGTGTTATGAATCAATGTCACTGAAAATTATACTATTAGGTAGATATCGTTATGACAGAGGCATTTTACTAGACACTAAAATCGATGTTTTTGCCGCCATTTGCATTTTTCTGAAATACGTCAAAATTTATTTCAGAGATAATCGCTTATCCGATTTTTTCGAAATTTGAAGGCTCATATCTGGTGACCTTGAATTCAGGTGACATTGACCTTTGTTTCAAGGTCATTGACTTTGGCTATCAGATGATACTTTTATATTTGACCTTCGACGTTTACTCCCGGTTAAATGACTTTCCAAAAACAGACCTAAATCGCCTAGATGGTCATTGTTTTGGATTTTAAATGAACTTTTTGTGCTTTTTTGTACAATTAGGTAGAATTGTGCATATAAAGATATACAAATAATAAAATCCGGTCCGGAAGTAAAGGATTAATCGCCATATTAATAAGGTTTGTTCCCACTTTCCCGGCAGATTATCCGGATTAAATTTTTCTAATGCAGATTAGTTGGGTTATACGGATTAGTCGGATTAGTTGGCTTGTAAAATTAATAAAATGAAAATATCAGCTCATTAGTGGAATTTTATCTGCCCTAATCCGTATAACCCAACTAATCCGGATTAGAAAAATTTAATCCGGATAATCTGCCGGGAAAGTGGGTACACCCCATTCATATGACCATTTTTGTATAACTCAAAATTTGGCCTCAGGGTTAATTCTGATTAGGATGATGATTTGTGGAAACTACAATTGATTGAGAAAAAAATTGGGTGATTTTGACTTTCGATTTTGCTTTCCTTTTATTTCCGATTATATATCGTGACCTTTACCCTTGGTGACCTTGTGACATGAACAAAAGTCAATTCCTGCTTCAGATATTATTCATTAAATTTTGATAATTTAAATTCAAAGTTATATTGTAGGCTGGGTAATTACAACTTTCAAGTTGAGCTCGAAAGTGTATTGTTTCCATTAATTTTTTTAGATATTCTTATTTTATTTTTTTGCAGTGCGTTCTTTGAACACACTGCTTTGTTTTCGAAATGACTATTTTTTTTTTCTTTTTTTTTTTGTCTACTTATGGTGACGCTTCCCAGCCAAAACTGCACATGTCAAACATTGTCTGACACTATTATTTTTTAAACCATGCGTGTCGCTATTGTTTAAATGTAAAATGACGCATTTTCTTCCAACCGGAAATGACGTATGACGTTAACCATTCATTGCGCATTTCGAATTACTGCTCTAATTTTGAATCTATTTTGACCAAAATTTTTGTTTTGTTCATTACTTTAAACCAATGACTAAAAGATAGCACTTCATAAAATTTCAGATTTTGACTTTTGTCGCTGACTTTTTTTGTCTTATCTTTAGCGTTTTTTTTCAACTTGTACAATTTTATTTCAATCGATCTAAAAATTTAACAGTAGATAAGCATTTTGATTCCTGACAAAAATCTATTTTCAAAATGTCGATGTCACTTCCGGTTTTGACGTCATTCGCCTCGAAACTTGAAATTTCAACTGTCGGAATTTTGTAGGTATTAGAAAAATTCTTTTTGCAATTGTTAAAATTGTCCCTATAACAATTTTGGAATGAAAAAATTTGAACCGGAAGTAACGTGTTAGACGTCATCTTGATTTGACAAATTTTTGTAAAAATTGATATTAAGCTTCAGGGAGTAAATCTGATTTGTGTGATTTTGGTGTCTAAAGAATCTACAATCGATTGCTAACAAAACTTAGGAAGTTGAATTTTGGATTCGTATTTTTTTTATTTCCGGTTTTATGTTTTCAGTAATTGTCAAAACTATTAAGGCTCATATCTAGTGACTTTGACCTTTGGTGACCTTGTGACCTGAACAAAAGTTGTTGCCTCTTACGAGATATATCCGATGATATCCTCACTTTTGTTGTGCATCGTTAACTTCCGGTTCTACAGCCATTGGAAAATCACGATTTCAATTTAAGGATTTAATGTAGATATTTTTGCGTTTATTAATTCAAGATTTAGCACGTGACAATTCGATGTCCATCAACTTTATTGACAGTAGTAAGATTCCCGTACCAACAGATATAATTAAAAGGTAATTCCGCGGTTTGGAATGACTGACCCAATGTCAAAAATGTTTAAGTATTACAGTTTTTGCTGGGTACTCTGACAACAATAACAACTGACTTTCAATGACTACGCCCACAGACAGCCCTTTTCTGATATAGATTTTAGTACCCTGTTTTGATTGACAGCTGTTGTACTGTTTTAAGTATATGGCCCCATAGTTAACACCTGCAATTATTGACTTGCTGACCTGTTACATAATCCTTTTAACCCTTTGTAAAATAATTATCTTGTCTTATTAAAATTGATTTTATTTTAATTATTTCGATAAATTTTGATTATGAATAATGATTTATATATTGTTTTAAAACAAACAACTTGTGATAAGAATGGTGAATTTTAATAGTTCAAGGGAAGTAACTGATCTAAATTCATTTATTTTATTTCAATAGTCGAAGGAGGGAACTCATTACAATTTTATTGTTAGATTATGATAAAAAAAAATGTCGCAACACACGAATCCACGAGGAAGCTTTTTATGATGAAAAGTGGCATCAAGTAATCAGAAGAGTAAGCATAACCAGTCTGCAACCACACCTGTCATTACTGCTAAAATCTTCTCATAAAAAGGGAGGCAAATGAAATTAAATGCATGTAATAAGTTTTTGTTTCCGAACGTAGACAGAGAGTTGTTGTAGAAATTGAAGATTGTAACCGAAAATAATTTTGAAAGTAGTGAGGACATTTTCCATTCATAATTTTGTAAGTCAGTATTCCAGTGTTATATTTAATTCGTTGTTCAAGAGTTAGCCAATTTAATTGAGAAAACAAGTCACATATATCCATTAGCTCCTTTATCTTCAAAAGTTTCCTTCACATAATGATCAAAGAGTAAAGATTTGAATGTTTGAAAAAATATCTTATACGTATCGTATCGTTGCTCATGTATCGCAATACCTCTTGTAGCGTATCATGTACAAGGATGCGTATCGTTGCTCGTGTATCACAATACGCATAGTAGCTCGTATCGTGGATCTTAATACATAGCCATGTATCGCAATACGTAGTTCGCATATCGCATTACATATAGTAGCTCATGTATCGTAATCATATCGTAATCGTAGGTCGTATATCGCATTACGTATCGTATCGCCTATGCAACAGTGGTCCCGTTTTTTCTTAATATTGTTCACGTGAAAAATCCCTCAACAGTTAGTTGGCAGGCAAATAGCAGTAGGTAATACGAATTTTCTGCTAATGAGGCGGTCGTCATAAGCCCAATAAGAAGGTCGTTATAAGCCCAATAAGAAGGTCGTTATAAGACCAATGAGGAGGTGGTTATAAGACCAATGAGGAGGTGGTTATGAGACCAATGAGGAGGTGGTTAATGAGACCAATAAGGAGGTTTTTATGAGATCAATGAGAAGCAGATTAAGACATAAAACTTTTCTCGTAACTGTTTGTTTACCGGATTGTTTCTCATCTGTATATCACCTGTAAAGCAGACCAATCACTTATCAGTCTATTAGTTGTCATAGTAACACCATTGTCTCTAAACTCAATCAGAATTCCAAAATAAAATTCAATACCTTGTTTGTAACTTTCACAACTTCAACTTGTTAGGTGTCTAGTCGTGCATTCTACATCCGGTTGGCGGCGAGTACCACATTCAGGTCGGTCATCTTACATCCGGTTGATGGGAAGTAAACCGGTACTGACACTGTCACTGTGAATCGTTTGAACACCAAGTGTAGACGTGTAGGGTTAAATCAAAATTCGAGCACACGGCACCTTCTCGCCCTGCGTCGAATTGATCTGATCACAAATAATATCATGCAGTGTGCAATGAGAGAAAAGTTGTTAGTAAAGTAGAATTCAACATCACTTTTTCGATTTTTAACTCTCGAGAGTTGAACAGTATACACCACACGGAGACTGGGTTTATTGTCCTATACTAGATCAGAAGTTCGGACTGCTAGTAACTGACACGGATAACTCGCAAAAAAGTAACAGGTTTTTGAAAATAGATTAATTATTTTTGACAAGAGTTGAGTATAAATCAGGGAGAAAATGATGATATTCCACCAGAGAAAATCTGTACAACCAACAAGTAAGTAACTTTTTATTTTATATTTATCAAATGTTTGATTGAATATAATGGTATAATCTTTATCAATAACAATGTGACGGTTAAATAAGATGACATTAAAGAAATGAAATGATGGGAATGAGGTTTTACTTCCTTTATCATTGTTGATGGTGTCAGATGATATTTTAACCCAACACGATTTAAAGACGAATTTCATCAGATCATACCAAGTGTTGCTACTCTCTGA